CCGTCAGGGGCCGTGGGGCTCGACCGACGACAGTCAGCAATGTCACTGTCTGTCGCAGCACGTGATGTCACTCGTGACTTGTCGCGGCAGTAGAATGTCACCGTGGATGTCGCGGCACGTAGTGTCCCGTGACTGCTCGCAGCAGTAAGATGTCACCGTGACTGTGCGCGACGACGCGGTAGTGTCCCGTGGCTGTCCGCAGCACCGACTTATAGTCCGTTCCTGTCGCGACTCCCAGTGATGTCCCGTGATGCGCAGGCGTAATGTCACCGTGGCTGGTCGCGCACGTAGATGTCACGGTGACTGTCGCGCACGTAAGTGTCACCGTGGCCTGTGCCGCCGTGATGTCACCGTGGACTGGTGCGCGCAGTAGATGTCACCGTGGGTGTCGCAAGACTAGATGTCCCGTGTCCTGTCGCGACGTAGATGTCCCGGGCTGGTGCAGCAGTAAATGGTACCGTGGCTGTCGCAGCACGTTAGATGTCACCGTGAGTGTCGCGCACGTAATGTCCGTGACTGTCGCCAGACGTAGATGTCACCGTGACTGTCGAAAGCCACTGTAGATGTCACCGTTGACTGTCCGCGCCCGTAGATGTCCCGTGGCTGTCGCACACGTAGATGTCCGGTGCTGGTCGCAGCACGTAGATGTCACGTGGCTGTGGCGAGTAGATTCACCGTGGCCTGTCGCGCCGACGTAAATGTCACCGTGACTGTGACGCAGCCGTAGAGCTGTCGCCGTGGCTGTCGCGCACGTAGATGTCACGTGACTGGTCGCAGACGTCTAATCGTTCACGTGGCTGTCGCGACGTAGGATGGTCACGTGGCTGTCGCAGACGTAGATGTCGTGTGTCGCAGCACGTAGCTGTACACAGTGGAGTGTCGCCAGATGTAGATGTCACCGTGACTGTGCGCAGTGCACGTGAATGTCACCGTGACTGTGCAGCCGTAATGTCACCGTGGCTGTCGCAGCACGTGATGTCGCGCTGAGCTGCTGCGCACGAGATGTCACGTGGATGTCGCGACGTAGATGTCAACGCGTGGCTGTCGCCCAGCCGTAGAGGTCCCGTGGCTGTCGCCAGCACGGTACAAGGTCAGTGGGCTGTCGCAGCCCAGCTCGATGTCGCCGTGACTGTCGCAGCACGTGATGTACGTGACTGTCGCAGCACGTAGATGTCACCGTGGCTGTCGCGCACGTAAATGTCACGTAGACTGTCGCAGGCACGTCCAGATGTGATCACCCCGTGGGCTGTGCCAGCACGTAGATGAATCACCGTGAACTGGTCGCAGCAAGTAGATGTCCCGTGGCGTGCAGCACGTGATGTGCACCGTGGCTGTCGCGCACGTAAATGTCACCGTGCTGTCGCCGCACGTGATGTCACGTGGCTGTCGCAGCACGTGATGTCACCGTGACTTCGCAGCGTATATGTCACCGTGGTTGTCGCAGCCGTAGATGTCCCGTGGCTGTCGAGAGTAGGATGATCATCGTGACTGTCGCAGCACGTATGTCACAGTCGGAGGGTCGCAGATTGTGAGATGTCACGTGTGTCGCGGACACGTGAATGTCCGTCACTGGTCGCAGCCGTAGATGTCACCGTGCTGTCGCAGCCAGGTAGATTCACTCGTGACTGTCGGCCAGCAGTAAGATGTCCCCGTGATGTCGCCGACGTAGATGTCACGTGCTGTCGCGCATGCACGTAGATGTCACGTTACTGTCGGCGCCGTAGATGTACCCGTGGTCTGTCGCGCAAGCTAGGATCCGGAGCTGCTGCGCCGTAGATGTACGTACACTGCTCGCAGACCGTAGATGTCACCGTGGCTGTCGCCAGCACGTCAGAATCGTCACCGTGACTGTCGACAGCCCGTAGAGGCACAGTGCGTCACGTGTCAATGTACGGCCGAACATTATAGTCCGGCTAATTCGAGCAAGATTTTTTTCCAGCTATCATGTATTAGATGGGGATGTACGGCGATGCGATATGACGAGAGAGCAGGAGAGAGAGAGGGGAGCGAGGAGGAGAAGAGACAGACAGAGGGCGGCGAGAACGAGAGGAGAGGAGGAGAGAGAGCAGGGCGAGAGAGACGAGAGAGAGAGAGAGGGAGGAGCGCAACCGGAGAGAGAGAGGGGGGGAAGAGAGAGAGGAGAGAGAGGGAGAGAGAGGAGGGGAGAGAGAGAGAGAGAGAGAGAGAGAGGAGAAGAGAGAGAGGGAAGGGACAGACGGAGAGCGAGAAGAGAGCAAGAAGAGAGAGAAGGAGGAGGAGAGGAGAGAGGAGAGAGAGAAGAGAAGACAGACAGAGGAGAGGAGAGGAGGAGAGTTTAGAGCGATGAGAGAGAGGAGAGAAGAGAGAGAGAGTGAGTGAGAGGGAGGAAGACGGGAGAGAGAGAAGAGACCGACGAGGAGAGGAGAGGAGGAGGAGAGCAGAGGGAGAGAGCGTCGCGAGATGAGAGAGAGATGAGAGAGAGAGAGGAGGAGAGGAGAGAGAGGAGAGAGAGAAGAGAGTGTGTGTGTGTATGTGCTGACATGAGGGAAGATGAGTGAGAGTCTAGAGCTACTCGTCATTTTATTCATAGATTTTATTCATTTTAGTCAGATTCAACGAGATCTTGGGAGATCGTGTTTTGGAGCGTTGCGAAGGTTCATGCAGTATCGCCCAACTAAAAAAAAGACGCTACCTCCTCCATAAAACTCATGGCCGTGGCGACACCAACATAGAATTTTTTAGGTTCGGTGGCCTAGTTAGTTCTTCTCGAGTTGATTCAGTGGGCCTTGTGTTTGTTGTTGTTCATATTGGGCTCGATTGCTGCTTATTTCTAGTGTTTGATTGTTAAAGATTCCATATTAATCTTGCCCAAAATGAATTCGTTACTCAAATGGCTAAAAATATGGTGTCCATAGTTTCTTGACAACGGTTCAGGAGTTGGTGAGTCGACCAGGTTTTCAAATGGCCGCGGTGGCCATCTTGGATTTTGAGTAGAACGTTTGTTTGGTAATTTTTTTCCAAGGGGTTCTAAGGACTTCTATGCCAAAGGGGACATTTGGTAGCATGATTTAAGTAAACACTTAGATGGTGCGGCGATTGTTCGCTCTGCGCACTGGCGTTGTTTGATGTATCGATGTGGCCTGTGATGTATGTTTATCGCAACGTTACGGTAAATTCTCAAATTATAATGACAGTCGAGGTGTTCGATCTCTGTCTCGTATCAGGTTTTGATTTATAATTATTTATATTAAGTTATATCTGAAGTGGCTACATTGCTCGATTGATTGATGGTTGCTCATATACATATGGCGCCGACGGAACGCGGTCGTAAAGGGTTTTTCGAGTTCTTTCTTCGTGGCAATATGCTTGACATTTTTTCCAGTTTTATTTTTCAAGTACGTTCAGTTAAGGTTAGTGGTTATTTACTTGCGTTTTTACGTGTTTGTACAAATTTAGTGGAGTTAGAATGCGAAAGATAACGAATAAAACGACCGTAGTACAACATTCTAAATCACTGCTTACGTGTAAGCATTTATAGAAGTCCATTTATTAGGGTATATTGAGTCCTATTGCTCGCATGAATATTCACCGCAAATGATCGATGTAATATAATTTATGTGCGGAATGTAGGATTAGAGTATTCATTTCATGAATCAGCGATTTAACTTTATTCTAACATTTTGGGCAAGTATGTAGTAGACACTTCTTAGCCTATTAAAGTTTCAGTTGCTACATACCTATAACATATTATGAAGTTTGTGCGTGCGCGCGCCGTGCGTGCGTGCGTGCACGTACGTTTGCCGTGCGTTGCGCACGTAGGTCGTTGTGTGCGTGCGTGCGTGCGACGTTTTGTGTGTTGTGTGCGGCGTGTTGGCTTACGTCGTACGTACGTGTGTGCGTGCAGTGCCGCACGTACGTGTATGCGTGCGTGCGTCGCGCACGGCGTGCGTGGTGCGGTGCGTGATTTACGTAAGGTTGTGTGGGTGGTGTGGTGGTGCGTGCGCGTCGTGTGTGCGTGTGGAGCGCACGTCGTGTGTGCTGTGAGCGCCGTAGTTATGGTTTCGTGCGAGCGCACGTACGTTGGGGTGCAGGCGCAAGTACTTTTGGGGTGAGGGCCGTACGCGTACGTGTTTATTATTGAATACCAGTTCGAGGGTGTTAGATGTGACAATGTTGTCGCAATACTATATTTAGTATAGCGTTTATTTCACTTCATTGCACAGTCGATAGTTTTGACGTGCTGCGCGCGTGCTCGATCTGAAGAAAACTGTTCCCGTGAATTATTTTTAATTCGGAGGCTACGCGGATAGGTTTATATAATACGGGCCGTTGCCTGGACCGTATGACGGGCCGTCTTTTCGACGCGTGATAAGGAAGAAGTGACCAGCTATTGTCAGACGTGCGTGCGACCATCAACTCGATTCATTGTGCGTATACCGCCTGCGGTGCAGATTTTGTGGGAAAGTATGATATGTAGCAGATTACTAGGCCTATATAAGTTTCATTGCTATATACATTAAGCTATTAGCACCCTGGGTGCGTGCGTGCGTGCGACATGTGTTTGTTGCGTGCGTGCGCACGTATCGTCGTGTGTGCGGTCGCGGTGCGCCGTAGTGTGTGTGGTGCGTTGGTTGCGTGGCTACGTATGTAGTCGTGTGTGCGTGCGTGCGGCGTAGCGTGCGGTGGGCGCAGTCGTGTATGCGGCGTGCGTGGCACGCGGTGTGTGTGTGTGCGAGGCACGTACGTTTCGGCGGCGTGGTAGTTGCGTACGCACGTAGTGTTTATTATTGGATAACAACAGACTTTCAGAGGGAGTTAGATGTGACAATGTGGATCGATTTCTCACTATTAGTTCAGCGGTTATCTTACTTCTTCAAGGTCCACAGATACGTTCTAGACTTGTCTGCGTGCGTGCCTACGATCCAATAAAAGAAAACACTTTTCGTTAATTTATATTTATCGGGATAGAGGATCGGTTTCTTAACTCCTTTAGGGCCGTTGCCTGGCTTGTATGCGAGCCCATTTCCTCTTTCGAACCGCGTGATAAGGGAAGAAAGATGACACAGCTAATTGTTAAGAACGTGCACGTGACGACAATCAACTCCAGAATCGCTTGTGCGGCTAATAACCGCCTGCGCGTCCATCGTTAACAACTCTCCGGCACACGCGCGCGGAAAGATGAACCGGTCCCTCATAGCGAGGAGTGTTGACGAGAGAGAAGCATCGAGCGTGCGTGCAGTCACCGGCTGACGACGCGCAATGCGAAACTGTCGGCGAAAGTGTACAATCACGGTGAAGGTAAAACGACGGCATATTATTCGGCTCGCTAATCTCATCGCGTGTGGATTCCTCGAACCTGAGCGACTCTCTTCTGCTCTCGTGAGCGCTGTGAGACACGCAGCAGCTGCTCGCAGTCTCAGTACGCAATACGTAGAGCAGACGACGCCTGAACGCCAGCTGACGAGTAAGGCGTAGTCACGTTACGAGGTCGGATCTGCTTTGGCGACAAAAGGAAAAATAGGTAAATGAGATTGGTGGGTGGGTGATTGGGTGTGTGTGTGTGTGTGTGTGTGTGTGTGTGTGTGTGTGTGTGTGTGTGTGTGTGTGTGTGTGTGTGTGCGTGCGCGCGCGCGTGACATACAGAAATGAACATGCAATATCATAGGCGGTGCGTTATAGTCAGGGGCGTAGCCAGGATTTTAAAAGTTGTAGG